TGTCCGCCCCTCCGTTGCTACAGGATTACTCCGACATGATTCCCTTCTTAATATTACTGTGGCAAACCGTTAAGTCACAAGCTAGACTCCCTTGGCTTCGTAGCTAAGGAGTTTTTTCCCCTCTGGCATCGGTTTTTACAACTGCCCGAGAACCCAGCCTATCGAATTAACTTCTTCTGCGGTCAGCGAGGCTGTCAGTGAATGGCACAGACCTTGGTGACTGGCCGTGGGTTATTGCTACCGAAGGGTGGTAACTCTTGGGCATCGGTGTCTTGCCTGGTGAAGTGCATTATAATTATGCTGACAAGGTTCCTTGGGTGAATTTGATATCTTTTATTAGACCAACCCAAATGGTTGGAGAATAGTTATTAAGCAAGCTTTCGGGTTCAAAAACCCTTTGTCAGGCCCGGGAAGCTTCAGCAGTTGGTGTGCGCTCTTCCTGGATGGAATGAAAAGCCTTATAATTATGCTCACTTTCTTAAGGTGTAAGATGCTCCCCTCTTCCTAACTATCTGGGTTCCTCCCCTGAAAAAACCCTGATGCCTTTTTTTTTTTCTTCCCCCCCCCCCCCTGTGTGTGTGTTGGCCCCTCTAAGGCTAGGAACAGAAATTGCACATAAACCGGCATAAGTGATCGGAAAACAGTTCAAATCTGTAACACAACAGAAGTTCAGTGCACATAAACAGCTTTCAAAATGCTGCAAACCGGTTTAAGATAAACCTGGATGGATGTAGTATCAGATTGAACTGATTTAGTTTAAATCAGTTTATTGAACGTTTGTCCCAGACTGCCTTGTGCATTGCGAAGGTACCTGTTAGACTGCAGCTTATAACTTGTTTTTTTTTTTTTCCTCTTCAAAATACTTTCTCACAAGGGAAGCATGAGGGTTTCAAGCTGCTAATTTATCTGGCCCTTCCCTGTTTATCAATCAAGCTGCTGTTTTTTATAAAAAAAAAACAAAACACAAAACAACAAACTCCCCCTCCTCAATTAACACAAGGAGCAGTCTTATCAGTGAGGTCCCAGATACAGACTACTGGACTGGTACATGGGTGTGTGATGCTTAGTCACCAGGGCTTGTTGAGTTGAGAGAGCTTTTAGCTAATTTGTATTTTCTAAAAGAATATTCAAGCCTGTCCATAAGCCTGTTTATGTGCACTGAACTTCTGTTGTGTTACAGATTTGAACTGTTTTCTGATCAAAATTCAAGCTAATGTTGCTGCCGTTTATACTGCACGTGGGTACATGGTTGCAAACTGCATGCATTGAAACCTTCTTTTTGGAGGCCTGCGATGTAGCAGCCTTTAAAATCTATGTTGCCCCATTACAGAAGTATACTACTGCTGTACTGGATCCAAAAATAGGCTCTTCCTAGCAAAAGTCCAAGGTTAAGGGTGAAACTGGGAACTTTGTGGCTTCTCCGTCCCTCAATGTAATCTCCCAGATATTCCCCTAAATGGCTACGGTAATCACTTAAATTGTGCCAGCCTTATTTTGAGAAGATTGAAGCCTTATTTTCTTCAAGCACCTATGAAGGAAGGAAGTCAGCTGACATCTGACTCAAATTTGGTTGCTAAAGTCCTTACAGTAACTTGGCACTCTAGGTTGAAACCATCTGTGGCTGGTTTTGTTTTGTTTTATTTTATTTATCTTTTTTTGAAATTCCGGTCAGATTTTTTTTCATGGATGAACTCCAGACATGGAAATTATCAATGCTTTTTACTGCCATCTGGCAGATGTTTTTCAACTAAAGGCATGGCTCTAGAAGAGTGGCTCTGGTTCCTCATTGTTATTCTATTGCTGATGGGACCTGTCAAGTCAAATCTAAACGACTGCAAAGGAGGACTCATCAGGTTTAATTCAGTGAGCTGATTTCAAGGGCTTGAAAATGAACTATTGCTGGTTGATAGAGATCTCTTCTGAAAGTAATTAACAGGATTAATTAAGCCTTGTATTTCATACACAGCTTCTTCATTTTAACGTTAACAAATTAAAGGCATACTCAAGTCTTCTAGCATTTTCCCTCCTCTCATCAGACTGCTCATGTAATTCTGGAATAAATTAGCAAATGAATGGATACCTTCATAGCGGGCCTGGTAGGAGTAAAGCCTCTGTACCTAAGCCCCTTCTCTTTCATGTAGGGTATGTGTGACTTGCCTTGCTCTCAAAGGGAGCTGCTGACACCTCAGAAGAGGACTCTACATCAAGTATAACTGCTAACAGCGACTGCAGCAGTATGATCAGTGACCTGGTCTCTTTGGTACCAGGTCCAAAACAGCTTCTTTGATTTCATAGACATCATGGCTGGAAGGGACCTCATGAGATCATCAGGTCCAGCCCCCTGCCCAAGGGGCAGGAAGGCAGCTGGGGTCAGATCCCCTCCAGCAAGATAAGCAACCAAGTGTTTCTTAAAGGTATCCAGGGTAGGTGCTTGCACCACTTCTGGGGGGAGTCTGTTCCAGATTCTGGGGACTCAGATGGTAAAGAAGTTTTTTCCTTGCGTCCAGTCTAAAATGGTCTTCAGCAGTTTGTGACCATTGGACCTTGTCTTCCCATGGGGTGTCCTGGTGAACAGACGTTCCCCCAGTTCCCGATGCACACCCCTGATGTACTTGTAGGCTGCCACCAAGTCACCCCTGAGCCTGCGCTTCTCCAGGCTGAAGGGTCCCATGTCCCTCAGCCTCTCCTCCTAAAGCCTGTTCTCTTCACCGCTAATCTTTGGTTCAACCAGTAATTCTTAACCTTTTAAAACTCAAGCTACCCCTCTAACTTTTTCTGAATTTGGCAGTACCCTGACTGAGAACCACTGTAAAATCCCAATTTACCTATTTTATCCCCAAGCTGTTGCCACTAGGTGGAACTGCCCTGCATGCCTCTTTCCAGGAGGTACAAACAGGCCTGGATGGGGAAGTAGCTGTGGCAGGGGGGAGGCTTCCTTGCCGCC